GCAGGAGAAAAGTGGGGTGCAGAACTCAAATTCTAGTAAAAAGACCAGACTTAATAGTTTAACTGAGACTGGAGGGACCCTGGAAGATGTGGCCCCCGGACTCTCTGTTAGCCCAAAATTAAAACTATTCCCGAGGCCAACTCTTCAGACAAGGATTAGACTGGCCTATGGGACAGAAAATGATACTCGTGAAGAGTGTGCTTCTTAGCTCAAGTAGATACATGAGATTAAATGAGAAGCTCTCGTCCAGAGGTGAGATGAGAAGGCAGAGAGGGTCAGGAGCTGGTTGAACGGACACTGAAAATCTGGAGTGGAAAGAAAGAGTGTGCTCTCACAGTATAGGGAGAGCAAGTAGGGTCACAAAGCAATGTATATATAAATTTTTGTATGAGAGATTAACTTGAATTGTAAACTTTCACTTAAAGCACAATAAAAAAAAGAAAGAAGAGCCAGGAGGAAGTGCATCCTTTGGACCCCAGGTCCCTGCACTGAGGAGCTCGTAGACCAGGGGAAGACTGATAACAAGGACCTTCCCCCAGGACTGGCAGAGAGAGAAAGCTGTCCCCTGGAGCTGGCACCCTGAATTTGGACTTCTAGTCTCTTAAACTGTGAGAGAATAAACTGTTTGTTAAAACCATCCACTTGCGGTATTTCTGTTATAGCAGCACTAGATAACTAAGACAGAAATTGTTACTGGAAGAGTGGGTGTTGCTCTAACAGATACCTACAATGTGGAAGTGGTTTTGGAATTGTGTAATGGGTAGAGGCTAGAAGAGTTTTAAATTACCTAATAGTAAAAGCCTAGATTGCCTTGAAGAGACTGTTGGTGGAATTATGGACATCAAAGACAGTTCTGGTGAGGGCTCAGAAGGAAGTGAGGAGACTGCCAGATGGTGAGAAGCAGCAGCAGAGAAAGGGCAGCAGCAGAACTAGGAGACCAGCATAAGAAGGTGCGGGAGTTGACCCACGGAGAAGGAGGACTGAGTGCCTTCAGGCCAAAGTTTACTGGTGGAGTAGGGTGCCTCCAGGCACTTATCGGTGGAGCTATAGAGCTTTGGAACACTTGCCTGAGCAGGGCAGATGTGGGGCGATGAGGCCCGAGGAGCTGAGAGGCCAAGGAACCGGGAAGCAGAAGCTGAAGAGACAAGGAACACAGGAAGCAGCCTCAATCTCAAAGGGTAGGGCCACAATCTCTTAGGTTTCAAAGGGTGGAGCCATAAAGTCTGAGGCTTCAAAGGGTGAGATCACAGCCTCCTGTGTTTCAAAGAGTCAAATCTTGGTACTGGAATGTGGGACTGCCATTCATGAATGCCAAGGGGATAGGGCCAGATCAACTACCCAAAGCTGAGGGGGCGGGGCTGCCGTGCCCAAGGGACAGAAGAACGGGGCCTGCTGGCACCAAGGGGGTAGGGTGACCACTCAGATGGACTGGGAGAATGGGGCTGCCCAAATGAGAGGGAGCAGAGTTCCTGTCCCAGTGCACCTGGAAAGCGGAGCTGAAACCCAGGGCCGAGGGGACTCCACCCAGAATCCTGAGACTGTGGCCAACATCCGGAGTCTGGAGGGCAGGGCCATTGTCTAAATGATCTCAGAGAACAGAGGATTATTTTCAAGGCTTGAGAACTAATGTAATGTGTTCTGCTGACTGGATTGGTGCCTGTTATTCCTTCTTTCCCCCCAATTTCTCCCATTTGTAATGGAAATGTCTAGCCTGTGCCTCTTCTACCATTGTACTTTGTAAGCAGATAACTTGTGGTCTAGATTTCACAGATGAAGAGGAATTTTTTGGAGTCTGGACTCGGAGTTGATTTAAGAGTTATGCTATGGTATGATGGGGTGAATGTGTTTTTACATGTGGCAAGGACATTTTGGGGAGCCAAAGGGTGGAATGTTATGGATTGAATTGTATCCCCCCAAAATGTGTGTTAACTTGGCTAGGCCATGATTCCCAATCTCGTGTGATTGTCCACCATTTTGTCATCAGATGTGATTATTCCATGTGTTATAAGTCTTGCCTCTATGATGTTAATGAGGCAGAATTAGAGGCAGTTATGTTAATGAGGCAGGATTCAATCTACAAGATTATGTTGTGTCTTGAGTCAATGTCTTTTGAGATATAAAAGAGAGAATTGAGCAGAGAGACAGAGGGACCTCATACCATCAAGAAATAGTGCCAAGAGCAGAGCACATCCTTTAGACCCGTGGTCCTTTCGCTGAGAAACTTGATGACCAGGGGAAGATTGATGACAAGGACGTTTCCCCAGAGCCAACAGAGAGGAAGACTTCCCCTAGAGCTGGGGCCCTCAATTAGGAACTTCTTGCCTCCTAAACTGTGAGAGAATAAACTTCTGTTTGTTAAAGCCATCCACTTATCGTATTTCTGTTACAGAAGCACTAGATAACTAAGACACCCTGCAATTAGCATTCCTTGTGCTTCCCCCTCCACTTTCATCCCAGAAGTCCCAGCAGTTATTCTGAAACCCCAGTCTTGAAGTCAGTGAACTGCTCTCCATTTTATAGCTGGGTAAACTGAGTCATCCCCATCAAAGCTCTCTGCTGGTCAAAGTGGAGTTTGGAATCTAGAGTTCAGAGTTAGGTGCAATGCAGTGGCAGTCAGGGCTCGGGCTTGGAGGCAGGGGTCTAAGTTCTAACTGTGACCTCTGCCTGATTTTCCATGTGACCTTGGGCCAGAGAAGGCCTTCTAAGTCTCCATACCCTCCATATCCCACCTGTAAGCTGGGTAACTGGGCAAGAGGGTCTTGAAGGATTCACCCTCTGGGCTGAGCTCCTCACTCTGCCATGCTGGAGGTCTGGCCCAGCTCACCCACTGTGAATGTGAGATATAACTCTACTGCAGAGATATCAACAATGAAATGGGGGATAAAAGAACCCCTGTGCCCACCATCCTGCCTCATTTCCCTCACCTGGACCCCAGGGGGCTTCCTTACAGTCTCCCTTCCCCTCAACTCTCTTCCCTCCAGCCCGTCCTCTGGGAGATGCCAGAGAGCACTTCCTAACACACAAATCTGACCGTGTCACTCCCCTGGAACAGCACCCCTTGGAGGACAGGCTTGGTCTGGCATCTCAACCCCTTCGGATCAGAGCTTCCCAGCCTCATTGCTCACTGTGGTCCTCTAGGCCAGGGCTTTAAAACTAGAAGCTCAGGACCAAATGGGGCACACAGGTCTGTTTCATGTGAATTCTGGAACATGGTCTCTGGTTTGCCACAGTCCTTACCACTCCCTATTACTCACTCCCAGCTTTTCCTCACACTGTGTTCCTTTTCTGGCACCCAGAGGCATCTCACTTAGGGACCCCTGGAATCTGGGCCTCCTGACCTGGATGTATTGTCCGTCATCAGACTCTTCCTACACTGCCCCCTCTCCCCTTAATGTTTGTTTATCCTGCCCCCATGAGGACCCTTTTCAACCATTAGAGTCCAAATCAAATGCTACCCAGCAAACTCCATTGCCTCCTCTTCTGAGGGCATGCCTGACACAGCCCACCTGGTGTCTGTCTGACTTGCATGTCTCTCTCCCCACTGTGGTGCAAGCCCTAGAGGGCAGGAACCGCCTCTCACTTATTTCTGCATCCCTGGTTCCCAGCAAGGTGGCTGGCACAGAGGGGGCTTGGGAAATGGTGCAAGGGGGGAGAAGCATGAGTGAGTGAGAGTGAGTGAAAATGGCTTAACTTCTGATACTTGGCCTCAAAGGCAGCCCAGAGCAGGGTCCCTCCAGACCTTGAAGACAGCCCCAGAGAAAGAAAGCTTCCCATGGTACTCTGAGAACATCCAGGGAAGATAATGTGTGCCGCTTGCTTGCTTCACCCCCTTCCCTAGAGCCTGCCCAGTTAGGTTCCCAGGGCACCCTGCCAGCACACATCAAGGCTTCTGGTAGCCCTCAGATGGTCGCTGTGCCCCTTCCACACCCCTCAGGGCCTCACTCCAGCAGCCCCACAGCTGTCTGGCTGCCTGCAGTCCCTGAGAGGCCTCTGGCTCCACTGCCTCATACTCCAAGTAGATCAGTGTCCGGCTGGCTGCTCCCAGCCCTAGAACCAAGAGGGCTGGGGCAACCACATCACTGAGGAGAAAGGCATGTGAAGCATCTCTCCCACCACCCAGCAATGCCTTCACTAATCCTCACAGGAGCCACGAAGGGACAGGCCCTGTCACTCCTCCTCACAGTGAGGAAACTTCTGAATCCAAGGAGATTTCTGGAAATAGAGGGGCCAGCAAGAACAGAGGGGCACTGCAGGGCCACGAGGGTCAGGAAGAGAAGTGGAGGGCCCGGCTTGCATGCAGTCACTGAGAGGCTTTGGACAAGTCACTTCCCCTCCCTGGCCTCAGTTTCCTTTCTGTAAGATCAGGGCCTTGGAGGACACAAGCTCTAACCTCTTCCTGACTCTGGCATTGTTGTGTGCTTTCTGCTCTTAATATTCAGGTATGACCAGGTCCAGACCCCCAAGGGAAAGTGGACTGGAGGAGCACCCACTGGAATGACTCCCCAATGCCAGAAGGGTGCACCCCAGAGCTCAGTTTAAGAGACAGAGGTGACCAGCCTGGGGAAGGAGCTGGTGAGAGACAGTAGCATCTGAACTGGCAAATACCACACAGCTTCCAGCGCCCCCTGGTGGGCACTCCTGCTCCCCTCAGTGCTGTTCCGAGGCCCCAGGGTTGGCCACTCACCCCTGGAGATAACTCCTCCCAGTACCTTTGAGTCTAGAAACAGGGGCAGAGCTGGGGAACCAAGGCCTGTGTTCTGGGCCACAGACACATTGCACAGTCTGTAGTGCTACAGGGCCTGCTCTCCAGGGTCCCAGACCACTGTTACAGACTCGCTGGGTGACCCTGACATGACAGGGTTCCTTCTTGGGCCTCAGTTTCCCCAGCTGTTAAACAGGTCAGGGATAGCTGAGAAGAGGTCAGTCACATTTTTGGGATCCCCAGATCAAGGAAGTTTCCAGGCTGCGCTGGCTGGAGCTGCAGGCATGGGGCAGCTCACCGATATCTTGGTGAAGATGGACAGCAGCAGGGACAGGACGGACAGGTACATGCATATCCTCTGGCCTCCGTAGCGCTTCTGGATGTATTCAGGCATGGTAACAATCTGGAGGGAGGCACAGGGGATTGAGTGTCCCCCCTGCCAAGTCCACTCCCAGGCTCAACTTCTCACTACAGCCCAGCACCAGCCTCAAATCCCAGGCTGAGTTCTGACCATATCCTACAGGCAATGAACAGGGCCACTGAGGGACTGTGGCTGGGGACAGAGGGACAGATCTGGAGGCTATTATGGAAACTCCAGATGAGATGTAAGGCCTGAGAAGATGGCTATAAAGTGCAGAGCAGGGGACAGGCTGAGATTTGGGAAGTGGAAACCACTGGACTTAATGACTGCCTGGAGGGGGCTGAAGGAGTCAAAGATGGTGCCACCCAGGTGTTCAGCCTGTGAGCCGGGGATAGGAGGGGTGAAAAGGTGGAGAGCCTTCACCCTTGAGCAGCCAACAATGCTCCCTTGGCCCAAGTCTTGCGTTAGTGGGTTAGTCCAGTTGATAGGAATGTTAGTTGGACTAACAACAAACTCAGCCCTGAAAGTACACCAATTTGTGTTGAGAGTCCAGGCAGTCCTGCCCATCACCCTGTCATGAGGTGAATTACCCGTTGCTGTCGAGCTGATTCCGACTCATAGCAACCCTACAGGACAGAATAGAACTGCCCCATAGGGTTTCCAAGGAGCAGCTGGTGGATTTGAACTGCCAACCTTTTGGTTAGCGGCCATGTTCTTAACCACTGAGCCATCACAGCTCCAGTATGAGGTGAATTATGTCCCCCAAGATATATGTTGAAGCCCTAACCCCTGCTACTTATGAACCTGACCTTGTTTAGAAATAGGGTCCTTGAAGATGTTCTTAGTTAACATGAGGTCACACTGGAGTAGGGTAGGTCCTAATCTCATCTGAGTGGTGTCCTTATAAAACAGGAGAGACACAGACACAGGGAAGACAGCCATATGATGACGGAGGCAGAGTGGAGTGACACAGCCACAAGCCAAGGAACCCTAAGGACTGCCAGGAAGTTAGGAAGAGAAATGAAGGATCTTCCCCTAGAGCCTTTGGAGAGAGCAAGGTCCTGCTGACACCTTGGTTTTGGACTTGCAGACTCCAGAACTGTAAGACCATAGATCTCTGTTGTTTCAAGCCACTCAGCTTGTCAGGATAGCTGCAGGAAACGAATACAACTTCTGCTGACTTGGGTGAAGGTCTCGTGACTCTTCTTGCAGACCCACCCTGGGCCCAGACTACGGCAGGAGGTCATAGGGCATCTTGAGCCCTGGAGCAGACTCACCTCCGAGGAGACGTAGATGGGCACAAATACCCATGCCAGGGCCAGCAGCACATACGTGGCCTGAGGGGGAACAGAGGCAGAGCTTAGACAGTAGACTGCTGTGCCAAGCAAGCCCTGCTCTAGGCCAGGGTGCAGGGGACACAGCTGGACACGGTAGGGACTCGCCATCTGGAGGCCTGGGCCAAGCCCAGCAGTTCCCTCTGGCTGTGCTATCTGTGCATGTCCCCAGGAACCCAACTGCCAAGATTGTCTGCAGCATGGTTGACATAGGAGCTGAGCTGCGCTTGGTCACCGACCCCGCTTCCCAGCCTGACTGTCCTCCCAAGAGCCTCACGTTCCACTCGAAGCCTGCCACAGCCAGGCCTCCAGCTGCACCCGAGCCTGCCAGTCCAATGAAGAGGCCAGACCCCTCACTGCTGGCAAAGAGGGAGGCTCCGATCTGGAAGAGCAAGAGGAAACCAGTCAGCTGCAGGTGCACTGGCCAGGCCCTGCCGGCCTGACAGTACCATCACATCCGTCTACACAAAGCCACAGAAGAGGATCATTGTCACAGGTTCAGAAGAGGAGCCTGGGGCCCAGGAGGAGTTAGTGTACCCATGACTGGCCCCTCAGCTAATGAGTAGAAGTAGGTTTCCACTCCAAAGCCCATGACCTTTATACAATGTTCAGCACCCCATATGCATCCCAAGCTCAGGTCCAGGAGCAGACCCTCAGCAAGTGCTGGCAGACCTAGAGGTTTGGTTCTGCCCACCAGATGGAGGAAGGGCAGGAGCCAGGGGCACTCACCGGCCACCACGTCATATCCCGGCTTGCCAGAAAGTAGCTGCTCACTGTGTTCCTGCTGGCCTGGCATGAGGACTGCAAGGACAGAGGCAGAAAGTGGGGCCCTTGTGCATTGCTGGGGGTATGTAAAATGGTGAATTAAGCAGTCACTCCCCACTACTCCCACCCCAGCTCCTGGCAACCACTGATCTGCTTTCTGTCTCTGCAGATTTACCTATTCTAGACACTTCATATAAATGAAATCATACATATGTGGTCTTCTGTGACTGACTTATTTCTCTGAGTATAATGTTTTCAAGGTTCATCCATGTTGTAGCACATATCAGGACTTCATTTCTTTTTATGGATGAATAATATCCCACTGTATGAATAGATCACATATTGTTTATCCATTCATCCTTTGATAGACACTTGGTTGTTTCCACTCTTAGGCTCTTGTGAATAGTGCTGCAGTGAACATTGGTGAACAGGTTTCTGTTTGAGTGTCTGCTTTCTAGTCTTTAGGGTATCAAGTCTAAGTCTGACCTCTGTGGGCTCCTACAGTAGTGGGTGGCAGAGGTGGGATTCACACCAAGGCCAGCCCCAGGCTGTCCTCTTGCTCCTTTTCTCGCCGACTGGCTGACATTTCTACTCACTATGGTGCTCCCTATCCCTTAAACCAGGCTCCTCCCTCCCCTTTCGGGTTCCTTTTCTGCTGCCCTCCAAGGACAAGGAGGGTTTTGAGCCAGGGAATCTGAGAGCACTTTGACCTTGATTTCTTACTTTAAATATATAGTTTTATTTCTTGTACATTTCAACAATAATCCTTTGAGTACTCCTGCATGCTCTGTGTTGGGTTATTGTGAGGGAAGTATAGAATTTTGTGCTCCACATGTATGGAATAAAAAGTCTGAAATCAGAATGCCTAAGAGCAAATCCTGGCTTCTCTACTTCCTGCCCTGGTGACCTTGGGCAAGTTACTTAATCCATGGGCCTCAGTTTCATCATCTGTAATGTGGGCCTAATAATAGTCCCACCTCCTAGGGTTTTGAGGAGGTTTAATGAGTTAATGCATATAAAACACTGAGAATGGTGCCTAGCAAGTGTTTAATGAATGTCACTGAGACCCTGCTGTCTGGACAGGAGAAAGTGAAAGGATGTGAGGGACACAGAGGTGTATTTAGATATATAATTTGTGTCTACTTTTCACAGTATACATATAATGACATAAGTCTGGATCACAAAATATCAATCAATACACAGGCCTATTTCTGCCTGACTTTAATCGTCCTGCACCATGACAACATACTCACAGACAACAACAAAAAACCCTCAGAGACAGTCTGAGTTCTTCAGGATGATTGAACCAATTTCCTAGACAGCTGAAAGCCTTTAATACTATTCTGCCTCCATCTCCCAGCCCCAGACCTATCACTTGCTCTACTTTTGCCATGGTCCAGCTGTGCAGTTCTCTGAAGGTGCTCGTGGCCATGGCCAGGATGGCTGTGACAAGTTGTGCCAGCTGTGCACTGCACAGCTCCTGAGGGCTCTGATGTAAGGCCATGCTTTCTCCTTTTCTGGAATGCTCCTTGTCCCTTTCCCCTACGGAACATTTCTTCTTATCCTTCAATGCTATGTGGTGTCGGGGGGCATTTTCAGTTGCCTCTCTTCGTGATGGGGTCTCACCTTTCCCAACTCAGGTGGTCCTGACCAGATCAGCCCAAGGGGGCCTGAGACATCCATGCCACAGAGCCCACCACAGTCCTCGGCTGCCACGCCTAATTCAGGGACAGCATTTTGACTTAAGAGGGTAGAGTCAGAGCACAGCCAGGACCCCTGCTCAACAGCTGGAGGGTGAGAAGTGCCCTCTTGCTCTGCCCCAGCCACATATGCAGGGGTAATATTCAGTGAACTCGGTGGGGATAGTGGGTAGACGTTAGTGCAGAGTTGGTTCTGAGAGCTCTACCTGTAAGAACCTCTCAGTCATCACAATGGCCTCAGAAGGTAGGTACATGACCATCCCCAAGTTACTAATAGGAAACTGAGGCTCTGAGGTCAGGTCATCTGGCTCCAGGGTCTGGGCTCAACCTCTAGGCTGGTCATCTCACCTCCATGAGGGAAATGGGGCTCAGGACAAAGCAACAGGAGGCTGGGAGAACCACAGAGAAGGGAGCCATAGCTTTGACGGTGCTATGTTGCTGGATCATAATCCACATGAAGCCTTCCCTGTTCCTGGACTTTCAGTTATAGGTACTGTTATGGATTGAATTGTGTCCCCCAAAAATATGTGTTGTAAATCCTAACCCCTACAGTGGTTATAATCGCATTTGGGAATGGGATTTCTTTGTTATGTTAATGAGGCAGTATTAGGGCAGGGTGTGTCTTAAGTCAACCTCTTTTGAGATATTAAAGAGTAGATGAATTAAGAAAGCAGAGTTAGGGGAAGATAGATGTGATGCCATATGAGATCTCCAAGGAACCAAGAAACAGAAGCTAAAAAGAGGCAAGGACCTTCCACCTACAGCCAACAGAGAGCGCCTTCCCCTACAGCTGGCACCCTACATTTGAACTTCTAACCTCCTAAACAGTGAGAAAATAAATGCCTGTTTGTTAAAGCCACCTACTTGTGGTATTTCTGTGATAGCAGCACTGGATAACTGAGACAGGCACCAGTACAGTACACTTCCTTATGATTTGGGCTCATTGAAACAGACTTTTTGTGACTAAATTGAAGAGCCCTGATGGATGCAGAGGCTCAGCTTAAGCAGCTTTCCTGCAGGAACACTCCCAGAAGGCTCACCCTGGGCTCCTCCAGCCCACCATCAGAGCTCCCCAGAGGGCCATGCCTGCCAGCCTGCTGTTCGGTAGCCTCTGGGCCCCTGAGGGATATCCCTGCCCTGCTCAACTCTTCCCTGGATATGGTCTCCTGCTCTCTGGCCAGCAACACACCACAGGGCCAGTGGGGCCTACTTGCGGGGACAGGGTGGAACCATGTGGGGCTCCAGCCTACAAATGAATGGCTGAGCTGGGCGAATTGCCCCCATGAGAGGTGGCTGGTGAGTCCCGGGCAGCAAGGGCGGGTGAGTGGCAAAGGGCTTGGTCTCAGATGTCCAAAACTATCCCCACTTAGATGTGCTCTTCTAACTAAATATTCCCCCTTCCCCTGGTGCTGATAGCCTAGAAGCCTTCTCGCTGTCTCTTCTCATGACTCCACTCCCCTCACCAAAAAGGTTCTGCGGTCCGCTCTGTCCATGGGGCACCCCCTGCAAGTCCTAGTCACAGACTCTTGCAGGCAGGCACACACATCTGCACTGCTTACTTGAGGAGAGCGAGGCCAGACTGAGAAAACTGAGAAAGTAACTTACCCAAGTACACACAGCAGAGCCAGGACTAGGAGCCAGCGTTCCCAACTCCCAGCACTGAGTCACTAGAGATTTAATGTTTAATCACAGGATAACTAATTCTAATTACTTCCACTGCTGCTGCTGCTGCTGCCACTACTGCTACTGTTACTACTGCTGCTACTACTGCTGCTACCACTACTGCTGTTGCTGCTACTACCGCTGCTGTTAATGCTACTACTACTGTTGCTACTCCTACTGTTACTGCTACTGCTACTACTATTACTGCTCTTGTTGCTGCTACTAGTATTTTTGTTACTTCTACTACAGCTGCTGTTTGCTACTGCTACTACTAGTAGTAGTACTACTGCTGCTGCTACTACAGCACCAATAGCAGCAGAGTCCAGTACTGCTGGGAGTACTGATAGGAGGCCTTATCCCTGTGAGGTAGGTGGTGTCCCTGTTATACAGATCAGGACACCTAAGCTCAGAACTCTGAGTGACTTGCCTAAAAGGCCTAAGCTGGGAGGTGACCTGCTTCCTGACACCTAGGTCCTCAGGCTTAGGCCTGGGGCTACAGAGGATAAGAGTGGGATACTCATTCTTGCCAAGGGGATAAAGCTCTCAGAATACCAGAGCTAAGGTGCCAGCCAGGAGACTCCAGGGGCAAAGAGGTGGAGCCTGGCCTTTCCAGATCCAAAGTACAGAGGGGGTGAGTGGAGGAGGGTGGAAGGTAGAAAGCCTTAAGAAGCCCTCCTCCTTGGGATCAAGCAAGTGGCCTCGTGTATCCACTTCCTTGTCAGGAAAAGCTCATAGTTCGGCATCACAAACAGAGAAAAGTCACCAGAGGAGCACCTCACTATGCAAGGTCCTGGGCTTTCTGGGCAAGTCTACCTCTCAGAACCTGGGCTCTTCATCTGCAGACAGGGGCTGTCCTTCTCCTCCCAGTGCTGGGGGGTGGTGTGATGGGGAAGGGCCCAGCACAGCACCTGAGCAGGGACTCAGGTGCTGCTGAAATTCGCTGATGGAGCTCCAGTTGCTTATCTCTCTTATCAAGGGAGAGAAGTGTTGGCATATTAACTTGGCCAGTGGGGAAGCAAATTCCCTGGGAGCCTGTTTGATGTAAAGATTCCTGGGCCCTCAGGCCTTTCCCTGCCTCCTGGATTCTGATTCAGCAGGCTTAGGGACAGCCTGGGAACCTACATTTGTAAAAGCAAAGCCTGTGGTTATATTGCTCAGGCAGGCTTAAGCCCTTAGATCCCCAGTTGGCAGGCATGGAAACTAAGACTAATGAGCCTTACGTGGGCGCCCAGGTTTTCCAGCTTGTGGGTGGCAGAACAAGAACCCGGGCCAGGCTGTCAGACCCCGGTCTGGGCTGGCCGACCCAGCAGTGAGATTTCCACCACACGCTCTGCTGAGCCTTGGAGGGACCCTCACGCTCCATTATCCCCACTTTGTGGATGAGAAACTACTTTCCTAAGAGGAAGGAGCTTGGCTGGAAGGAGAAGCTGTCAGGCTCTGGGGGAAACTGACGCTGGTGCTGTGGGGCACGCCTGGGTCCCCATCCCCACACTCGGCACCACCCAAGTCCCACAGGCAGCCCACCCACCGCAGATGCCCTTACCCCCCTTACCCATATGCCCACGACCATGTTCAGGGCAAAGTACACGGCTATGATGGTGATGTCAGCTGTGTTCAGCTGCAGCCCAGCTGCGTGGAGGTCTCCGGTGGAGTTGTCAGCGGCCATCCTGCAGGCACCAGCTCTGAAGAGAGTCTAAGGGGCAAGCCGGGTCAGAATGGGCTTTCTGAAGGGAACTAATTGATCATTAAACCAAGTACATGGTGGCATCCTCAGCCCATGACGTGGCTGCGTGCAGCTCCCAGTTTCAAAGTGCAACCATTTCCCATTCGCCCTCCCTAGTAGGAGAGCGACTCCCAGAGCAGGGGGGAAACAAGCAGGAGGGAGCCCCTGAAACCCAACAGAGGGAAAATCAAGGCAAGTGGACTTGAAGGTCCAGTAGACCCCCAGAAAGAAAGGGGCGGAGCTGCCAAAGTACGGCTGGAACGCTATTTAATTCTTATAGGAAGTGGGTGAGAAGGACTTGGGGGAAACGACGTTACCGTTTACTTCCAGCACCAGCAGCCCTGGTCCCTGAAATGTCCCTGGACAGGACAATGAAGTTCTGTCCCCCAAAATTTCTACTCTGCTATTCTAGACCAACAAAATAGCCCAAGCCTGTCAGCCTGACTATGTCCAGCTTCCCGTGGCCGGCCTGGGACCAAGCAGGGAGCCATGTCTGTCAAGCATCTACCAGGGGCCGAGGACCATCCTTAGCTTTTTGACACCACGCCCCTTTTCATGCTCAAAGCAACCAAGGTCATTTCACAGCACAGTCAAGGGAACAAAGGTGGGAAGAGGTGGGGCAGGTGTCAGTCACACGGCTATTTAAGGGCCAGAGCCGAAGTCATCACCAAATCTGACCCCAAATTCTCTGCGGTGACAGTATTGGCTCTGAGTCCATTTGGGCGCCATGTGGGCCGTGGCTGCAAGGCTTCCCTCCTTCCTGATGTTCACTCATTAATTCACTCTGTACACCTAGCCAAGCCAGACCTCTCAAGCCTCCATTGCAGTGTCAACACTGTTTACCTTGGCTTTGCAGAGCACTTGGAGTTCAACCAGTGCGCACAGCCTGCCAGGGTGTTAATGAGTGAGCAGCCTGTCAGTGGCCACACATTGCCTGCAAAGCTATTGTTACTCTGTACCCTCGAAGGAAAGGTTTAAAGATTGACCTCCTAGCCTGCAGGACTGGACCGGAGAAGGAAAAAATCACAAGTCGCTACTTATAGTAGACCTCAGGCAGAGTCAGATGGCCCATCTCCACAACTGCCCACTCTCCTGGCCTTCAGCCAATTAGCCTCAGACGGTGCTTACCTCCTGAGTGATTGTTCGAAAGTGTCACCAATCAAAAGACCACTCTGCACTGGTCAAAAGGACCCAGCTGAAAAATGTTCAGATTCATCAAACCTGTCTCCCTAAGGGAAGGTCATCGAACCAACAGCATTTGGTCCTCTGTCCCTTCCTGGGTCTCAGGAGGAAATAAACCACTAAGAGATAAATCCCTGGGGAAGAGGAAGCAGGTCAGCTGAGAGACTGTGCAGGCAGTGGTGGCAGCAGAGGATACAGAGGGAGAAATAGCACATCTGAGCCCTGGTCACACCTGAGCTTCCACAGTCCCCCCATTCACCCCACCAGGATCCCAGAGGGTACGAAGGATGGGACCTGCCCAGCTGAGAAGCCATCCACCTTACACCCCTGTAAGCTACATCCATCTAAAAGGAAGCCACCCTGACTCAAGAACCATCTTCCTGGAAAAGGAGTAGGGAGGGCCAGATGATGAACATTATCAGTCATTAGGGAAATACAGGGTCATTAGTTTGGCCCTGTTGAAGCAGGATGACTGGAGCAGTTTCTGTCTTTTTAGGGGGTTCAGGGGGTCTATGGGTCTGTTTTCTTTCTGAAGCGTCTCAGAACCGTGACAGAGGCCTGGCTCAGTTAAAGCAGTGAGTGAGCTAGAGGGGACTGTACACCTGAGCCCTGCTCACACCTGAGCTTCCACAATGTGAAGGGAGAATACAGATTGTGTGACTTTACCCACAGCTATTCTGCAACATCCTGTGAGCGAAACCCTCCAGGTCTGCTCTGAAGACTGGCTGCCGGGTTGAGCTCCAGCTGTTGATCTTGCTTTTGAGATAAACACAGGACTTGTCATTTATTCTATTAAATATCATCTGTCTGTCTATCCTTACAGAAACACTGACACGGATGTCCAAAGCTACATGGAAAGGATACTCAAAGTAGCAGAACATGGGGAATGTCCTAAATGTCTACCAAGAGGGCAACTCTATCCTGTGACCGATACCATGACCATTGAAAAGATGATGCAACACTTAGGAATGGATAAGGGTGATGGTTGAACAACATGATGAACATAACTATTTGTACACGTGAAGATTGTTGAAATGTCATATGTTTTGTTACATGGGTATTTACCACAATTAAAAAAAAAAAGACAGAGACAATGCAAAACAAAACAAAACAAAAAAAAGATGAGTCAGCTTTATATATTGATAAGGAAAGAAGATAAAATTTTTTTGTGGAAAATAACACATAACATAAAATTCACCATTTTAACCATTCCTTAATTCAGCGGCATTTAGTACACTCACAATGTTGTGCAACCATCACCACTGTCTAGTTCCAGAACTTTCTCATCACCCCAAATGGGATACCCATAAAGTAGTCACTCCTTGCTACCCCTCCCCTAGCCTCTGGGACCACTAATCTGCTTTCTGTATAGATTTGCCTATTGTGAAGTTTCACATAAACTGAATCATACATATGTGGCCTTTATGGCTGGCTTCCTTCACTTGGCATGTTTTCGAGATTCATGCATGTCATAGCATGTATCAGTGCTTTATTCCTTTTTATGGACGAGTAATATTCCATGGTATGAATAAACCATGTTTTGTTTATCCATTAATCAGTTGATGGGCATTTGGATTTTTTCCTCTGGCTATTGTGAATACTGTTGCTATGAACATTTGTGTACAAGGTTTTTTTCAAAACCTGTTTTCAATTCTCTTGGGTACATTCCTAGGAATGGAATTGCTGGGTCATGTGGTAATTCTGTTTAATTTCTTGAGGAACCAAACTGTTTTCCACAGCAGCAGCACCATTTTACATTCCCATCAGCAATGCATGAGGGTTCCAATTTCTCCACATTTTCAGGGTTTTTATTATAGTCATCCTTGTGGGTGAAGTGGTATCTCACTGTGGTTTTGATTTGTATTTCCCTAGTGGCTCAGTGGTTAAGTGTTTGGCTGCTAACCAAAAGGTTGGCAGTTAAAGAGTTCACCAGCCGCTCCTTGGAAACTCTATGTGGGCAGTTCTATTCTGTCCTGTAGGGTTGCTATGAGTTGGCATTGACTTGACAGCAAATGGGTTTTGGGGTTTTTTTTTTTAATGACTAACAATGTTCAGCTTCTGTTATGGATTGAATTGTGTCCCCCCAAAATATATGTTGTAAATCCTTACCCCTATACCTGTGGTTATAATCTCATTTGGGAATGGGTTTTCTTTGTTATGTTAGTGAGAAAGTATTAGTATAGAGCGTGTCTTAAATCAATCTCTTTTGAGATATAAAAGAGATTAAATAAGTGAGCAAGCAGAGATAGGGGAAGAGAGATCTCAAACCACATGAAGATTGCCCAGGAGTAGAAGCTCAAAAGAGACAAGGGCTTTCCTCCAGAACTAACAGAGAGCCTTGGAGCTGACACCCTGAATTTGGACTTTCTGTAGTGTTAAAAAGCAAAGATGCCACCTTGAGGACTAAGGTGCGCTTGACCCAAGCCATGGTGTTTTCAATCGTCTCATATGCATGCGAAAGCTGGACAATGAATAAGGAAGACTGAAGAAGAATTGACGCCTTTGAATTGTGGTGTTGGCAATGAATATTGAATATACCATGGACTGCCAAAAGAACGAACAAATCTGTCTTGGAAGTAGTACAACCAGAATGCTCCTTGGAAGCAAGGATGGTGAGACTGTGTCTCACATACTTTGGACATGTTGTCAGGAGGGATCAGTCTCTGGAGAAGGACATCATGCTTGGTGAAGTAGAGGGGTCAGCAAAAAAGAGGAAGACCCTCAATGAGATGGATTGACACAGTGGCTGCAACAATGGTGTCTTAGGCTGGGTTCTCTAGAGAAGCAAAACCAGTAAAGCATATAAATACATATATAGAAAGAGATTATATCAAGGGAACAGCTCACACAATTGTAAAGGCTAGAACATCCCAAGTTTGTGGATCAGGGATCCAAGTCACTCAGACGCAAAAGCTGGCGAGCCCAAGATTGGCAGGTCAGCGAGCAGGGCTCCGCTCACAGGCTGTGAAGATCCAAGAATCCCAAATTTGGCAGATAAGCTGACAGCTCAAGTCCCAGGAACTGGAGGTGAGATGACAGGAGGCAGCTACAGGATCCAGAGTGAGCAAAAAGCCAGAACATCTGCTTATATTCAGATGTAGGCCACACACCCGAGGAAACGCCCTTTCATCTGATTGGCTACTCACAGCATATTCAATCACAGGAGTGATCACATATAAACACTGAGAACCATGGCCCAGCCAAGTTGACACACAATCTTAACCATCACAAATGGGCTCAAGCTTAGCAACAATTATGAGGATGGCGCAGGACCAGGCAGTGTTTTGTTCTGTTGTGCATAGGGTGGCTATGAGTCAGAAATGACTTGATGGCACCTAACAACAGCAACATAGAGTCGCTATAAGTCGGAATCAACTCAATGGCAACAGGTTTTTTTTTTTTTTTTTAGCCTCCTAAACTGTGAGAAAATAGATTTGTTTGTTAAAGCCACCCATTTGTGGTATTTCTGTTATAAAAGCACTAGATAACTACGACAGCATCTTTTCATATGCTTATTGGCCATTTGTATATCTTGTTTGGAGAAATATGTATTCAAAGTCTCTGCCTATGTTTTAATTAGGTTGTTTGTCCTCTGGTTGTTGATTTGTATGAGTTCTTTATGTATTCTGGATTGTAGACCCTTATCAGATAGATGATTTGCAAATGTTTTATCCCATTCTGTACATTGTCTTTTCACTCTCTGATAGTATCCTTTGATATACAAAAGGTTTCCATTTCTATGACGTCCAATTTATCTTTTG